TAGAAGTAGAATTTGAGGAACTATTTGTCGGAATAGATGACAATGACGTGCGAGAAGACGGTCTTTGTCTTTTACATGGTATCGAATTTGAAGTTTCAGACTCAGATCCTTCACCACCACTAGTTAAAGTTGGAGAAGAGTTCAAAGAATTGTTCTTGTTTATACAGTTCGTATCAACTAAAGTTGAGTCATCCAACGAATGTCTTTTTATTTTTGAAGAAGGACTATTAGCACTATGACTACTACCTAATACATCAAATTCAAAGGAATTAGAACATTTGTTCTTTCCACCAGAATTTTGATCTTGAATAAATTCATAAAAAGCACTAGGTGACGTTGACAGTAATTGCGAGGGATTGATATGAGGATTGTTACCCTGCATGAAATAAATGTTGAAAAAGCCATCAGCACCAATATCATTTCCAGCATTAAGATCAAGGAAAATTCCTGGATTATCGGCAGGAGTAATAGGAGTGCTAGCAGTTGATTGATTATATGAAATAGAATTATTATCATTTAAGCCATCAGAGGCAGCCATTTCACAATAATTTGCATAGGAAAAAGCTGGAGCCGAAGAACTTATTAAAGAACCAGGATAATCGAGAGATGTTTGATCAAACGCGGGATTAAAAGTTAATGGATATTGAGTATTGGTAGATGCAGTTGTCACCGATGAGGACAATGAATCTGGTAATTCCACGTCTGAGTCATCAGTAGTGTCATTCGGTATCGTTATACTTGATATTGGTGATGAAAAGTGTAAGACGCTTTGTGGTTTTAGTGCCTATATATTATTGAAATATAATCAAATGAATGAATATGATGTTATGCATATGTATATGAATATAATGAATATAAAAATATATAAAATATAAATATAAAAATATAAAATATAAATATATATATATACATATATTGTTTATATATATTATGTTATATATACATTAATAATATATAATATATATGTATGTATGTATATGTATATGTATGTGTATATGTATATGTATAGACGTATATAATGTTATATATATATATATATATATATATAATATATAGATATAAATATGAATATATAAATATATATATGATATTATGTATAAATAAATAAATAAAATTATTGATATATATTGATATATATTGATAATTTATCATACCTTTTTATAAGGAAATCCATGAGTACCAGTAGAATTGAAAATTTGAGAACGAGACACAGGGATGGCAAAGGAACGATCATTATACATCATAGGTTTTCCGGAAATATTATTAACATAATTCCTCTTTAATGCTTGTGGATTTAATCTGAATCCCTCAGAGGTTGGAATGAATTCATAATGACAATTTGTTGGAGACGTAGTTAAAGGAGGGTTATAATTGTTTGAAGCAGAGGACACGGGAATTGGGATGGCCGAAGTAGTGGAAGAGGTGAGCACAGGAGAAGGAGTTGAAGTATAGACGGATAGATTATCATCAGGATTACTACTAGTATCGGGGGGAGACATCACAAAGGGAGCGTGAGCATCATCAACAAGAATTGCATTGTAATCATCTTGATCCATGTTCACAGTCAAATGTCGGTCAAGTTTGTTGAGCGAATCCATTTCCATATCTAAACTTAATAACGCGGTTTCAACATTATTATCAGCATCTTTCAAGCAATTTCTGTTCCTATAACGATAATTCGATAATTGTAAAATTTTAAT